TATTTTCCTATCAAGGTACATATTTTTATGCTACTGTATTTGTTATACAGTTTTTACTGTGACTTGTTGCCAAGTGCAACACATATAGACACCCAACTCAAATACAGACACTTGGTCAGTAGCCCTATGTTTAACAATGACAGGAAAATAGTATTATTTTCCTATCAAGGTACATATTTTTATGCAGTACATCAGTATATGTCATATACTGATGTACTGTTACACTACAAAAGACAAACAAGTTATTAAAGAATCACCGTTAGTTAGCTTGTTTTCTATGCATTAGTTCCAGTGGTTACACTTCGTAGCAGCATAGAATTCATAAAGAAGACATACTGATGTGAATTTGTACAGCATGCTCTTCTAAACCATTGGAATATCTCTCACAATGTTTTCGTTGTTGTCCATCTTATCAGTAACACCTGTGTTTGATTTGCTGTGTTGGTCCACAGCAATGAACCCTTTGTTGCAGACATAGTGTCTAAATAGTACAGGGTTTGTCCTCTGGAGAGCATCAATATGCGTATTGGAATTTGATGAATATTATTTGTAAGTGGAAATTTGAATTACCGGAATTTAAAAAAAAAAAGCTCTATATGCAACCTGGTCTCACTCCCAACTAGTCAAATACCGACAGTTAGTCAGTGCCTCCTTGGACTCTGATACAGACGCACAGAGGCACATGACTTGTTTGTCTCTCAACGTCAACCACGCTCTTTGCCTGAACTTCATTAAGTGGTTTTGTTGCCTAAACCTAACTTCCTGTGAAGACAGTATTTTATTTTGAAAAGACACTATGCATATAGCCAGTGGAAAATGACAAGCAGTCCCTGCCACATCCAAAACTGACGCTAGAGGGGTATCTAGACGAGCATCATAGTTTGAAGCTTAGCTCCAAGTGTCGGTATTTGACGGGTTTTGAGTGAGACATATGCTAATTTAAATAATTTTGTTTTATGACTATGTGACGATATTTTAAAGGTCTGTATTTACTCTATGACAGAATATGTCACAATACCTGTGTATGTGTATTTTTCCAGTGTGAGTGTAGTTGCCCACTACAGTGTATTTTGGGTGAAGCTGCCTGGACCAGTCATCTATCAGCATGGTGTTACTCCCCACCCACCTCAGTCAGACACACCTCCTCCAGTACAACCTACTACCACACCCACCATCCTGCCTGGGCCTGTGAGTGTTATAAACTTTAATGTGAACTGAGTGAAACAAATTTAGACTAATAACTCCGTCTCCCTATCTTACACTCTTAGTTTACTTCTGATGGATGTGGCCAATCAAAATCCTGCCTGCTGGATCCTCCAGGCTGTGATCCAAAAGAAGAGCCCCACTGCTTCTTCCTGTCCATGACTACCGAGGGACCAGACAAAACGGTTTGACTTTGAACACTTTTATTTACTGGTACAATGAATGCAATTACAGGTGCTACATGAAGCATTTTAACATCAGTGGATTCCAGTGGCGCATTTTATACCTGAGCCTTCACTGCTGTCCTGCAGTTGAACCACCTAACCTCATTATGACGCCACAGCTATGGTTATTATTTGTTTGTGTAAAAATGAAGCTCAACACCTACAAATACATTAACTGCAGAGTGCAGATAACATTACATGAATATGCGCACCAGTGGTGGGCCGTCAGGGCCAGCTAAGCCTTCTCTGCTGGCCTAAACACAATCACAAAGTTATAGCTATTTTATAATTTAATATTTTTTCTTAAATACACTACATGTATTATAATTTATACAAATATTTTTCCCATTATCTTATTTTCTCATTGCACAGCTACTGTCTTCCTCAGTTGCTCTGCTTCCAGTGCAGCTTGTTTTAAGTAGAGCTTTTATCCAATCATTCACCGCACACTGAAGAGCACGGGCCATTCAAATATTATTCATATCAGAGGGAACAATATACACCATAGACACATGAACACAGTAGTAACGCTACGATCACTCCCTCCAGGAAATACACGACACCTCAGTTCTTGTTAGTGACGGATTTATTCGTCTCTCAACACCGAGAGGGAAAATGAGTCCACTTGAAAACACATGAACCTTCAAAGTAGATCACTTAAACACTTTAACTTAACTTTAACACTTTAACTGAGTATATGGACTTCTGCCACTTCACGTGTCTTCTTGTTGCTGTGCACTGACAAAATGTGTCCCCAGAGCAACATTGGATGTAACAATGGTTCCTATCACATATAAAACTAAACAAAAATCCATCTTCATAAAAACAAGTTGTACAAATAATAATATATAAAAAAGCATATTAAAGCTACTGCAGATGTAAAAACAAATGCAGTTCACTTACCAAAGCTGCTGTTCACTATTTAAAGACAAAGTCCATCCTCCTTTCTTTGACCTGTTAACACTCTGACGGCCTGTGGGCGGGCCGTCAGAGTGTTCAGTGTACAGTTGTGTCATGTACACAACTGCTCTGTAAAGACAGGTACTGATGCGATATCTCATTAGAAAGCTACGGTTCTTGTAATTTGATTTATGCAAACCATTTCAAGATACAATCACAGCAGCAGGTACAGTTAACGTCTCTGTCAAAAAACCACTCCAAAAATAGCTGATAAAATATCGCCGTCACTCACCGATTATGATTCATAGCGTTTCCCTCATGCATGATAGTCCAGCAAAAACGGTCTTGCTAGATTGCTAAGGGTCCACACGATCCAATCCAGTAAAAGATTTAGTCCAAAACACATTATTACGTCCATAAACACCCACGGGGGTCTGTTGCATCATTTCAAATTAGCCAGTAGATATTGATAATTTTCTATGTATTTTTAGTCATATCTCCCGTTAACATGTAAACATTGCCGGTCTCTGTGTCTCAAAATGGAGGCTGCGTTCTGCCGGTTAGATTGACACCTCATTTGACCCAATAGGAGCTTCCATAGCCTGGTCACATTCTGGAACAGCCAACAAGAGTCCGCTTTGAAAGACAATGCCCGCCTCTCTTCTTTGGGTAATGCTCGAGCCAATTGCAACAGATCTTGTTGAACCTCATGCTTCGTTATAGCCAATGAAATTACAAAGAGACCGCTATGCAGATTCATGCAAAGCATGTAGGGAAAGCCTTTTGGAACTCAAATCTCGCACCGTCAGTGAGGTACTTCTGACCGATCTTGAACACCAAAGTGTAGTTAGTGAGAATTTTCAAGAATCTGTGAAAGTTGACAATGGTTAAATATGTTATAGTTAACCATACATTGACATAAACAAACTATAGTTTCAATTTCGGACACGTACTTTATTGTAGTCTTTGCTTTTTGACGTTTTTACTACGAGCCTCCAAATATACTTTTACGAGCCTCCAAATATACTTTTATGTGCTTTTATGCACATACTCTTAGTAAACCATGTGTAAAATATTTATTTTTTGTCGTATTGTACTAGGTACTATGACTTCATGCTATGGTACCATTGTGTTTTCCAGCTAATAAGTCCCAGCCATGGTCATCTGCAGGCATCTGTTGGCCAAAAAAAATCCAGGCGGAAATATAAACCTTCTGTTTCACTGTTTAGCTCAATGCTAGTAGCACTTACAGTGATTCTGACTGTTTGTGAAGAAACTTCAGTGTTACCTTTCAATAGAGACTAAAACCATACATGTACTCCCAATGGTTCAATAAGAGCTGTCAGTTTACTTTGGGTACGCCTTGGATAGGCGTTTTAGGCAAATTTTACAGGAGTGGTAAGTTAATAAATAGTTTAATCTCACGGTTGTTCAGTACATCCGTGTTTTAGTTCCAGTAAGAAGTCCTTCTCCATTCATGGACGCCAGTGAAGACAGTCGAGCCTCCCCAGTTGTATTTCATACATACATCCGGTGCACATCAGTGGCGGGCTGTGCATTTGATACCTGGGCCTTCTGTGCTGTCCTACTGAGCTACGGTTATTTGTTTCTAGGGATTGTCTGCTAGCTAGCTTTCTGTTTGACAAAAGTCACGCTGGCCCACTGACCAATCACGGTGCACCTTAATGCTGCGCTGCACGTTAATGCAGATGTACTTAGCAGGCTACCTCAGTGCTACTGGCACATCAAAGAATACGTCCAACATGTCAAACTAAAGATCTGATTGGTTGAACACTATGACAATCAACAATATCGTCCCCATTCACTTAAACTGCACATGGATTCACTTGTGACTCTGCAGGCCTCTGGCCTCTGTTCTTACCTAGAGACACAGAGGTGAGATCTGATTGGATAAAAGCTCTACTTAAAACAAGCTGCACTGGAAGCAGAGCAACTGAGGAAGACAGTAGCTGTGCAATGAGAACATAAGATAATGGGAAAAATATTTTTATAAATTATAATACATGTAGTGTATTTAAGAACAATTATTAAATTATAAAATAGATATAGCTTTGTGATTCTGTTTAGGCCAGCAGAGAAGGCTTTGCAGGCCCTGACGGCCCACCACTGGTGGAATCTCACCATATTCAAACTGAGCAGCACATTCTCACTCCCAACTCGTCAAATACCGACGCTTGGTCAGTGGCCCTACGCTTCAAACTATGATGCTTTATCTGACCCTCTAGGATCAGTTTTGGACATGTCTGTTGTCTGTCAACAACAAATACAGTCACTCACCAGGACAATACACCATTGGACCACTCTGTTACCAATGCTATAACCCAACTAACAATCATCACGACCAAAAATAAATCAATGAAAGCGGCTATTCTTGATCTTCAAGCAGGCAGCATGAGAGACAAGCTAATCTTCTCTGGCATTTTCGAAAAAAAACTGACAACCCAGAAAAAATATAGGATTTCATGGTCATCATGCTCAAAATACCACACGATACCGTAAACAACATCACCTTTCACCATATACAGCGTCTGGGAGGAAAACACAAACGTCCACGGCCCATCATTTGAACACTTCAGAAAGAAAGAACTTGTTCAGCTCCAGGAACAGCGACTTAATGGACCAGACTATGGACTCAATGATCAATACCAGGAGATATGGGAGATACAGACGAAGGCTAAATCCCATCAAAAGGCAGCTACTCAAGGAAGGGAAAAAAACATGGATTGGGGGAGATGGAGCCCTCTATTGCCACCCGGTATTTAACACACTGACAACACCCAAACGCTGATATGACATTATTTAAGCAACCAAAATGTTACAATTAACTTTCATGAACTGAAAACATACTGTAAAAGGGTTAAAGTTGTAAGATGAAAACACGGACCGGTCCCAGACAGGACAACGCTATAGTGACCGATCAATCACAAGGTAGCCACACCATACAGCATACCCTACTTTATCATCTATTTTAATCTCTTTTACTGTAAATGAACATCATGCTGTGTTGAAGAAGACTTAGATAGTAAACTCATGTTTACCCAAGTGAGAAGTACTCTCATCTTCTTGTTGTTGGGATCTGACTATATGGCTTCGACATGTGCTGTGGAACAAAGAGAGTCAGGGCTTCCCTTTTGCAAGCAAAGGTTTCATCCTGATTGTAGTTTGAGCACCAAACCCCCAACTCTGAAGAAATTCACATTAGGGTGTGAGTTTCCTCCCCCCATAAAACTGTGTTCCTGAAGTTACCTGAAAGCAGCGCGGCAATCTAATTGGCCGAGAGCCAAGACAACCCAGGACCCCTGTGGTTCAGCGACCCTTTCTACAAAACTACCTGCAACCCCCACCTCAATGCTTTTTCCCTTCGCCCTCCGTCGAGCTAGGGAGCACACCAACGTTGTTTCCCTTTTCAACCAAATCCTAGGTCTAACAGTTTATATTCGCTGGCCGAATTCACCAAACTGTCTATTTTATCTTTGTTCGTATCCACAAAGCGAACCCCTTTTTAGTCCTGCAGAAGTGAAGAAGCAAGACTTCTTCAGAAAGAGAGAACTTCCACTCTCCACCAAGCGCCTCGTTTGCTCCGGCCATAAGGACGCGAAAATCCCTTAAAAATCTCCTACCGAGAGAACACCTCCCGCGGCCCGCAGCCGCGCTGCCCGAACCCACGGAAGCTCAGAAGAACCCCTCAGAAGAACCCCCCTCAATCACCACGATTGCATTGTACCGTAAGGCGAACTAGAGTCTGGGCAGAGTTAGAGAGAGTTCATTTGTGTTTATTTTATCTTGTTTGTGTGCTTAAAGTACTGTTCGTTTTCATAACGTGGTGTATGCTTAATAAGCGCCGACACTAACGGTCGCTGAGATGTTGGGGTTGTGGAGAAGCTAGTGTATTTCATGCTACCGTGATCTGTGTTGAGCTAGCCGCCTCGTGAGGTCGAAGTTGCTTCTCATCAGTTCAGGAGGTCAGAACCGCCGGCTGAGACAAAGAGTCGCGGTTCTTGCTCCCCTGGCTGAGAGAGCAATCTTCCGTACTCCCGCGCGGCGCAGAGGATCTTAATCTTTTGTTTTATTTCATTTTGTTTTGTTCCTTTCCCTTCTCTTTTACTAATACACACATATATAGCTTTGAGCTAATCTAGCTACGTGCTACCGGCACTAGACGCCGGGTCTCCTGTTGGCTATCCGCCATTTTGAGTCTCGCGCATGAGAGACGTCACCACGTCCCAACTACGTCATACGTCGCTGAGCTGTTCCCTCGCTCCTCCTCCTTACACACGCACACACACTCCCCCCTCCTCTTTTCAATCGTCTGTTGATTTTAGATAGCGTGCTCATGAATGTATAGTTGTTGTTAGTTTAGATATTAGTTGACTAGATCATTAGTATTAGAACGTAATAAACTGTTATATTTTAAAGAGCAGCTGTCTGTGATTACTTTGTGCATGTGTATTGTGATAATAGCTGTATATGTGGTCTGTGCTCGAACTTAAACCTTCACTTTCACTCTGAATGTGTAATAGTACTCAGACTGTTGTGAGTGAACACTAATTATGAGACTTAGTTTATCGTTTGGTTATTGGTCCCTGTTCTCAGGGTGGTGCCCCGTTATTATTAATAATCATTAATAATTGTTACTGACATTAATAATTCTATTGATGTCAAGAATTTAGTTTCTTAGATGCTGATAACCCAAACACGCTCCTTTACGTTCCCAACATATTGGTGCCCCCTTTTTGAGGCTATGTTATTCCCAACATTGTAGATTTCTATACTTCTATTTGCAACCAGAGGAGATTAGAAAGAGTGCAAGTTTAAGGCCCCTAATGCAATCCGCATTCATTAAAAAGGCTTGAGTAGATAACAAAATGTAAAACTGCTCTCTTACTCTTACTGTCTTGTTTAATGCCTGACATTGTTCAGAGCTAGACTGGGCTATCTGAAATGATACAAATAACATAGTAATAAAGGATATTAGTGCCACCCATTGAATCTTCGTTTATTTTCTCTGCAGTCTGTGATATTTGAGCTGAGTGGCCCGGCGGAGGGATACATTGCCTTTGCACTGTCCTGGGACACATGGATGGTAAGCTAGTCCCTCAGTGTATTGCAACGTTCTGCACCTAATACAGACCAGTTTGATCTTCAGTATAATCAGAAGAATATCTGCAGCTTCTTCAAGAATCACTCCTTTGTGTGCAGCATGATTTCTGAGAAGAACAACTTTCTGTTATCACACATTTACCAAAATGTTGCACCTATATTAACCTGGATATGTAAGTGTATACTGGATGTATTTGTGTTTATGCTTGCTTTTGTGTGTGTGTGTGTGTGTGTGTGAGTGTAGGGCAACGACGACGTGTATATGTGTGTTAAAGATGGGGATAGAGTATCAGTGAGTGCTGCCTTCGTCAGTGGAAGAACCCACCCTGAGCACCAGTCACAGGTGACAAATGATTCTGCATGCTAAGCTAGGCTAACCACACCATCCATACCTGAGGCACAGACAGGCGATTGACATCCATCTTCTCACAAAGAAAGCAAATAAAAGTATTTCCCCAAATCTTCTTCCCTGACATTGTATTGGATCTTAGGCCAAAATGGTTGTTGTCCTTCTTTCTGTGTGTGTGTTGGTAGGTTGGTCTGTCCTCGGTGTCCTGGCGGCTGGCAGATGGAGCGATTCAGTGCAAGTTGAGCAGACCAGTCAAACTGGTCAACCAGGAACCAGCCCGCTATGATCTGGACCATGACTACTTTCTGTTTCTCACCAGCGGACATGCTCAGTATGGTAAAAGAGTCTGCACACACCTATGCAGGAAACAGAACTCATTGACCCTGGCAGTCACCCTGTGTCTTGGAGGCCAATTCAAGTTCTTATCAAGGTTTATAACGTCACACGGATGGAAGTTTGATCAGCATCAACAGGATGTCGTTATCAATGATGAGCACATAAAGTACAGGTTTATTCCCCGTTGGCTTTTTCCTACACTCTGGTTAATGGTTAATTGGCCTTTCAAGACTGAAGTGATTTATGGATGCATGACACAAATACATTCTTGTTTTTACTAACTTGCAGTTTTGAGCTTTAATCCAAAGAGAAATGTTATGAAAATGCTGCAGTCTGAGTTTAAGCATAAGTAGCTCTTGTGTGTCCCATATTTTGACACATTTGATGGATTCATTTTCTTTGCTGTTTGTTCAAAGCTTAATCCGACTTCAAAAGATTTGGGATTCCTAGAATGATCGTTAAACAGTTACACTGAAAACATGTACTGTATGTCCCACTGTAGTGCAGATTTTGTGCTGACATACAGTAATTACATGTTCTTGGATCTCTCCTCTAGGTAAAGTATGGAAACATAGTCACCAGCCATTAATCTCAACCCACAGGAAACACATCACTGGACCCCCTGAGATCCTACGAGGCTCCCGCGGACCCATCATGATGAAAATGCATGGTTTGTTGAGTACTTCATTTTTATATTCAGGTCACTGAGAGTTTCTGGTGGAGTCATATTAGCCAAAGGATGTGTTATCTAGACTCTATGAGTTACCTACTACATATGTAGAATATGTAAAATCATCATCAGTATTCTTTATACACAAACAATGATGAAAACACAAGATTATTGAATAAGGATGTCAGTCTACCAGCTGATTTTGGTCAGAAGGAGGAAATGCAATAGTTTCTGATGATGTAGCAGGGTAGTATTAAACTATCTCTCGTGTAACATTTAGTGTTAGGTTTGGGAAGAGCGTTTAGCTGAATTAGCTTCACTCCTCTAGGAGCACTGATGCTGTTAGCCTGGATGCTAACAGGAAGCGTTGGTACCGTCATCGCCAGCTTCTACAAACCTGATTGGCCAAATCAAACTCTGCTCGGCCAGAAAATCTGGTTCCAGGTAGATTTTATGCGTACACGCACACACACACATACAAAATCTAAGCAAAAAATGAAGTGAAATAAATGGAAATACCATGATGTTGAATACTACTATGCTGTGTGTGTAGGTACATCGAGGCCTAATGGTGCTAACTGTGACTCTGACCATTGTAGCCTTTTGCCTCCCATTTTTCTACAGAAAAGGTTGGAGCAAGGTACAGTACAAACACACACACTGCAAAACATATATTGTTTTACATTTCGACTGTACTGCTGTAATATTCATACACCACCAGCAGAGAGGGATGTTGCATCAGTTATCAATTAATGCACAACTCTAGTGTGTGTGTGTTTGTGTGTGTGATTGTGCAGCATGCTGGTGTCCATCCATACCTGGGCTGCTGTGTTCTAACATTATCTTTGATTCAACCAACAATGGCTGCAATCAGACCATCACCTGACTCACACAGGTAATGAAACACCTTCTACGTTTACATTCAGAAGAGGGTGCAATGTTTCCTCAGTGTCCGAGGTGATCTGAATCCTGTCTGCCTCTTCACACCACACCCCTCTGATGCCCACAGAATTCCTGCCGTTCCTGACCATATATGCAACATACCATCTATACTGTATATTTATTGATGGGTTAAGGTTAGGGGTTAGCTGTATACTGTAAAGGGTTGGGGTTAGCAGACGATGTACAGTCTTCTTTATAGGTACACCTCTTCAACTGCTCATTAAGGCAAATATCCAATTGGCTAATCAACTTAATGCGTTTAGGCATGTAGACATGGTCAGAACAATCTACTGAAGTTCAAACCAAGCATCAGGATGGGGAAGAAAGGTGATTGAAGTGACTTTGAACATTGCTTGGTTGTTGGTGCCAGACGGGCTGGTTTAAGAATATCCAGAATTGCTGATCTACTGGGATTTTGCTGGTCAAATTCCTTTGCTTTGTATTGTGCTGTGCCAAACAGTTACAGATAACAGTTAACAGATATACATATTTGTATATAAATTCATCATCAAGGCCTAATAATCTGTGGACTTTGTTAAAAAAGAAGGTGGTGATATTTTAAGCTCCAAGCAATTATTTCACAAAATCCTCCAAAAAACATCAAAATACAAAAAATAATATATTCTTTTCATGTTCAGAGACTTGCTGAAGAAGGTTAAAGAAGGTGAAAAGAAATCTACATCAATAAAATCAATGTTTGGATTTCTTGTTCCTCATGTTAGAATCATGAGGGTTGTCAGCAAACAACACAACTGTGCATCACAGAAAACATTTCAGCGGGTTAAACTCCTGCTCTCTGTGATTACATATACTATGTTTGAATGCAGTCAACGATGTGCTTTTGTTGTTCTCAGATTGATTGAATGTGTAACTGTGAGATGTATTTGCAGTGGTATCTAAAGGGTAGGTCCATCTGCATTCTTCTCTGGGAGATTTCAAATAGGAATGCTCACTTAGTCGTTTGCAAGAACTGAAAGGGTGAGTTCGGAAGTGGGGATGTATGTATACTTCATAAGTATACTTTTGTGTTCTACGAGGTAAAATGATCAATGGAATTGACAAAATCAGTTATTTAGGGAGGGATATAACAGCTTCAGTTTCCTGTCGGAAAGGGTCTGATGGCGAGGTAAAGCAGCTGTGGAACAACAGAAAAAAAAAATGTTGCCACCCAAAGGAAATCCCAGTTGACGTGTACGCTCTATTTAGAATATTTTTCACTGCTTGCCATCAGGCAGCCATCAGACAGCCATCAGACAGCCCCTTCCAACAGGGAACTGAAGCTGTTATATCCATCTATACTTCAGCCACCAGATTCCATGAACAAAAAAACGTGATTTTGCCTCACAGAACACGAGAGTTGTCCACCGCTGCCTCAATCGGTTAGTTTGATTGTATTACTGCATGACTTTCGGATTCGAACTAACGTGGCGTTCACAGCAACACATTCAATGCCTAAAAAATAGCTTCAATGCCAGTGTGACAGCTTCTCCGAACTGGGAGCTTGCCAACCACCATCTAAGTTACTGTAGGTAAGATGGATCAGGATATACTGTATGTAATATATATATGTGGAAAGTCATCATGCAGAAACCTCATGTCAGATCCTGTGGGAAAATGTTTTAGATGGGAAATAGCATTTTGACACTGAAATGTACTTCAAACTAAATTTGAATTTGAATATACAAGGAACACCACTGGAACGCTGCAGAATGATACACAAACCTCAACAAATAAAGAAAGATAATGAACCCGCCCTTTAATGATATTGTTATTACAGTGTATCAATATATGGAATATATTTGTATCTCTGTCCAGGAGATATCTCTTTAACTGGGCCCACTGGGGGGTTGGGTCTGTGACTGAGATCATGGCAGGTTGGTGTGCATTCAATTTATTTCTGAAAATGTTCTGAACATTTAAAATAAACGGCCTATCTGGCTGACCAAAGTAACATCATGTCCTCTATGTGACTGCAGTGGCAGCCATGTTCCTGGGGACGCGTCAATCATCGCTGCTCCTTCCCCAGCCATGGGCAACACATGTTCTGATTGGCTACGTGACATGGCTGGCCTCATTTAGGTTCCTCCTCCTGATGCACAAGCACCTTTACAGCAAAAAAAGTATGAAAACTTGATTGAAGTTGATTTCATGTTAGGCTTATACAAGGAATTTACTGCTTGACTTGTACTCTGATGCATTATGATGCTTCTTCATGACTGAGTATTGAGGGCGCTGCTGAGTGATTCCTCATATACCTGCAAGCTACTTTAACTTTTGTTTGTTTGATCAGCAGTATCGGGGTCAGATGACCAACAAGCCATCCTCTCTGACCAATCGGAGCATCGTCACTGGGTAGGTATGAGTCTCCATTTGTGTTCGCTGGTATTCTCAAACTGGATCAGTGTCATTGCTTACTGAAACATCGTCATTAAGTGTTGAGTGATTTTTGGTTCACCATACCTTTCCTGTTATAGGTCTAATTAGGCTTTAGGCTATTCTTCTGGTACAATGCTGGTAGTCATACAGTTGTTAACTTTAATCCATGCTAGCTGTTACCCCGTTTTCAGTCTCTATGCTAATATTTCACCTATTGATGTTAAAGTTACTACAAGGAACTTTTAACTGGTTATGAAAGAGTCTCAATTAAAAACCGCTGCCTCCAAATGACCTCTGCAAATGAGCTCATCAGCAAGAATATTGGCTAATCTTAATGCCTGTTATCGGGTTGGATTCCCCGTGAAATCACACAAAATGATTTACAGCACGCACGTTCACCAAAACACACCTTCAGCTCAGACTCCAGCGGAGCCTCCTCAACCGCAGCAGAGGCTCCTCTTCTGGCCAGGAGCAGACCTTTGCCTCACTGCTTGGCCTGTCCCCAGTGAGCGCCAACACCGACACCACCCTGCTGGAGACCCAGGCCGTATTGCTGGGCCCACTGGAGGGAAGGGAGGCACGGGAAAACCGGAACCATGACTGCATGGGGCAGACTGTCATGCTGCAGTAAAATGAAAGGCTCTCTAAAGAAAGTCTACTTTTCTCCACAGGGACTGCCTCAATCAACACAAAATGAAAGTTCTTTGTATTAGATTTAAGTAGCTACAATCAATTAGTTCTATTAATGATGGATCACATGACTATGGTGCTGCTCGAAGTGACAAACCCACAGAGAATACCAGCAACACGACTAAGCTTATCAGAGTATTGTGTTTTGTTCCCGCCCTTATTAAACCCCCTGCATACTACCTGCCCAGCACGACACAGACTCAGTCAGAGACTAGCTCGCCAACATTGTGGAGCTTTTCTTTTTCTCAGGAAACCAAAACAGATGAAATGATACTGATTTTAAAACACTACAAAGACTACCGGTACATTATCAAAGGGCTTGGAGAATAGGTGTACGACATAATCCACACAGTTTACATCGCTAACCGATGCAGAATGTTTGAAAACTCCACGATTGAAAGACCCGTGTGACCTTTTGATCTCAATGGGACCTATCCTGGTTAAATACAGTGAGAACACTATGGACTGACTGAAGTGAGAGACATCTAATGTATTTAACTTTTTGTTCCAGGAGTTCCTCATAAAGTCTCTCATCCTGACTGCCTTGGCTCTGGGCAGCTCTGGTCTCCTCGTGGCCCTGCTGTCTGCTGTTGCTGAAATCTGACATTTTAATGGAAAAGAAACTCAATTTCAAGACCATGATCATTTTAAAAGTGACTTTTTATGCGAGGCTTGGAATGACTGTATAACTCCATATTGATAACAGAAAGTATGAGGAACTTAACGTTATTATTCAACAATCATATTTTATATAAAAACATATTCTATTTTATTATGAATGTTTAATAATAGCACTTATATGCCCTTATTGAATAAATCATTAAAGAAAAGTCTTTAATCAGCACAATAGCCTGCAGCAGAGGCTTTGCAACGCTTTTATCTTTTGTTCTGATTCTCATGTACTTGAAGTAAACAATCAGCGTTGTCTTGGTAACTGAATACAGCTGAGTCATTCAAATAAAGAAAGCTAGTATTCTACCTTTTTGTCTGCACAGTAGATATTCATTATATTGGATACATCCTTTATTTTATGTCAGAACAATTCATTCATTTCATTTATTTTTATAATAAATATTCACCAATTCATGCATCCTACATATACAAAGGCAGCAACAGATGTTATTGATTTACAGAACATAAAAGGACAATACTGTGAACAAATACATATGTTGCTGACCACCAACATTCTTATCAGTTCATCAGTTCAAGTGGACTTTGTGCCAAATTTGAGCAAACCCATCAAAGGGTTAAGTTAATGGAGTATAGTGGCAACGTAGGAACAGACGGACCGACACCCTGACGCTGTCGAGGAGGGATGAAGACGAAGCAGTGTGGTTCTGCTCCAGTTCATGTGTCGATATAAATGGAGACCTTATTTGGATACAGACAATCAAATCTCTCACAAAGCAGTAACGTCAGTGTTCTCTCAGGAGCAGGCGGTCACAGCCAGACAGCAGCTACACAACACAAGAACCGCAAGTCTCCTTCTCATGCAACTTACAAACATGAACACACAGATTGTCCAGCACCCTTAGCAAAATAAATGCAAATGTCAGTTCTTCAATACTACAAACAACACAAAGAATGATGATTCCATGTATTTCATTTAACGACATGTAGGATCATTCATTTGATGATGCTACGACATGTACGATCATACGTTTGATGACGCTACGACATGTACGATCATTCGTTTGATGACGCTACGACATGTACGATCATACATTTGATGACGCTACGACATGTACGATCATTCATTTAATGACGCTACGACATGTACAATCATTCATTTGATGACGCTACGACATGTACGATCATTCGTTTGATGACGCTACGACATGTACAATCATTCGTTTGATGATGCTACGACATGTACAATCATTCATTTAAAGATGCTACGACATGTATGATCATTCATTTGATGACGACATGGACATTCGTAACCCAAGATAACATGTAAATCAGTGTGACATCACAAATCACAGCTTCTACACGCCTTCAATGGAACACAAGGACCGTTACGCTGCAAAGACATCACACGCACAATATCTCAATGATGCAATGATGATCGCAGGGAGAAAGCAAGCGTCTAGGAGGTTATCAAGTTGAGTTTCTAAGTTAAAAAAAAGCAACAACAGCACACTAATCCTCTGAAAGGTTGGATAAGACGGTCGCAGATGACAGATGTGCTTCCCTTGTGTGTGTGTGTGTGTGTGTGTGTGTGTGCGTGTGTGTGTGTGTGTGTGTGAGAGAGAGAGAGAATATTGTGCATGCGTGCATCCGTCCTGTAATAAGTGTGTCAGTGTGAGAGTGAGGCTGAGCGTTTGTGTGTCGCAAATGTCGCTAAAGCTGCTGTTTTCTGATTGGCTGCTGCCCACACACACTAAATATGCCCCCCGCTGGCACTGAGATGTGAGAGAGAGAGGGGGAGCGAGAGGGTGAAAGACAGGAATAATAGAAGAGAGAAGAACAACAGTGGTATAAGAACAGAAACAGAGCCCAGTGTTAGCAGTTGACATCGCAGCACTTCAACCGCTGGAGCAGCAGGTAAGACACAACAACTCTCCTTATGTTTTCAGTGCTTTCACTGGGCTGGGAAGTTCTTCTGAGGCCTCTGAAACACATTGACAAGAACGGGAATGAATAAGTGATCCAGAAGATTGTTATGGTCTTTTGTGTGCTTCATACATTTGAGAATAAATGTTGTGTGGTGCACCGTTAGAGTTATGATACCTGGATAGATGCAACCTGTAGGGTGAACAATAACACGGTCTGGTGTGTATTTGATGAAGATGATGAAGATGTGTGATCTGTTCAGTCTGTATTTTTATTTTTATTTTGTATGACTATTTTCCTAACCTAAGCCCAAGCCAAATCTAACAAATCAAGCACATCCCTTTCTCAAACCTATGAAATGACTTTATTTACCATCAGCTGTAAAAGTGAAGTTCGACTGTCAGTCCATCCAAATCAAGAAAAAGCTTCTCTCTAGATTCTTTGTTGCACATGTGTTCAACAATCCTCATCAAAGATGTACAACATGATGTTCCCATACAACTCAACTGCATCATCATATATATATATATGTATGTATATATATATATTAGTGCTGGGCAAGTTAACACGTTAATTTCGCATTCATTAATTAATGAACCGACAATTATTTTATCCGACAATTATTTTATCGCGCATTAACGCATTTTTTTAATTTATTATAATTTTTTATTTATTTATTTTTTTTATTATTGAAAGACAAGAGACAATACATATACATAACAACAAGAGGATGACAAGAACAGTGGGATAAAAGCCAGCAAACATCCTATAGTCAGTGTGTGTGTGTGTGTGTGTGTGTGTGTGTGTGTGTGTGTGTGAACGTGTGTGTATGTCCTTAAGCCTTTTGAGATGGGAAAAAAAATAAAAAATAAAAATAATAATAATAATAATTAAAAAACAACAATTTATTATTATTGTAACATTGTTTATCGTTTTGTATTGGAGATATGATGTCCCTTCAGGGTTGCCGAAGAGAAAAGGCGACTTCCGCTTCTGGTCGAGGGGGGCAGAAATAAAGAGAGAAGCTGCACCAGCTGTTGCTCTCCCTGGAGACTACTGGACATCGCTGCGGTAAAGTCAGCAGACACTTACATGTTAATGCACCTATATGCTGAAATTCACAGTAAACGCATTTAAACGGCACAGATCGGGAGCGAGCGAAGGACTTTGAAAGTTAGCGGACAGATTAACGTGAGACAACATCCGGTTTCTTCAGACGAACATCCGGTTTTCAGAATAAGATTAATTGCGATTAATCGCAAAAAATCCATGCGATTAATCGCGATTAAATATTTTAATCGTTGCCCAGCACTAATATATATATATATATAGCCCAAAATCTGATCAAAGTTATCACTGTTCAGTCTCTAGTGGTTGCCAAAAGGTATTCTAGGAAATGTAGGCGTGGAGAAAAATGTGTGCTTAAATGTGCGATTAATCATGAAATATCTTCTAGAATACACGGAGGGACTGAAGACCAGAGAGGGGAGATTATGTTGATGGCCCGTGTGTGGATTGATCTGTGGGTGTGGAATACAGGAAACACTGTTGATGTTCCTGCAGAGTTAAAGAGTGCGTGTGTGTGTGTGTTTGGGATAGAGCTGGCAGCACAGTGTCACCTACCCGTGACCTTGTATTTCATCTACTAGTCAAGAGAAGAGCGTGTAATGATTTACACCGTAGGAAGAATCCAATAGAGCCATTTTGATACATTACATAAAAGTAGGATTACAACCACATATGCCTGATTAAAAAGGGAATCCCATCCCGTTAGTGACCTCTGATATGACATGATGCGTGAGAAATGGAAATAAAAAGCACGGAGTGTATAACTCTATGCAACGCTCTTCTAGAGGACATTCCCTGTTCTGATAATGGTGATGAAGGGATGCTCATCGCATCATTGTTTCTCCACTCATTCATTTATTGACCTCATGACATTTTCCATTGAGGTCCAGGGAGAGTGGTTAGGAAAAGACATTAAGACGTAAAAAATGTAAAGCAGATCGAACTCACAACACTAAATACAACTCTGTCGAAACTGAACAAGATTATCAACATTGATCTGAAAACATTTCATCCTACTACCTAATGGAAAGAAAGATGTATCTATATTAATGACTCCTGGAGTCAAATCTGTAGTTTCTCATGAGAAATAAAGTCAACCTGCAGCTGATTAGAAGGTAACGCACCACAACAAAGAGGCCTCTCTGTTTTCTGTTTACTCTTGTTTTGTTCATGATTCTTTTTAAATTCTTGTTTATTTATGTGGTTGTTGGCAGTGATGCTGATAGCAATAGTATACATTCTTTTTAAATTATTATTTAAATTTCTATTCATTTTTTTAATCTTTATGTATCTATATATGTTCTTCTCTTCTTCCACCCTTTTTAAACAACAGTGGTCAATCTGTTCTTCCTTTAACTATTGTCTGATATGTCTCTCAGTAGAATATATACGGTTATATTGTGTCACCTGTTTCTAAATGCATCGTCTCACAGAATAAATGAAAAGAATTGAGTGAAATGTTGAGCTGGTGAAGGAGATACTAGGTGCTGATCCTGGCACAGCTTTGTCTTTCAGACTTGTTTTTACAGCGTAGCTCAGGGACATCATAAGAACTCCCCCACATGAAGACACCATGCACTATAATCTGTAGTGCTACTGTCATATAAAAGAATAGAATCTAATCATTTGTAATCTATAGCTGCCCAATACACTACACGTCTATTATTTACTATAAAGGGTTTAGAGCAGATTGTCACCAGATTAAAGCCCGAGTCATTAAATCAACAGCAGCTCAATGATGCTTTTCTATCTGAAGGTCAAATGTGGTTTGTCTCCCTCTCTTCCTGTTCATCTAGCTGTCTGTCTGTATCCCTCTCTCTAATCTCTAGTCCTTATCCGGGGTGACGGGCACTGTTTGTGTGTGTGTGTGTGTGTGTGGTGCCAGATGTGATCTGGTGTACAGTCACTGGAACCTTACCTCAGGTCACCGAGCTCACACACACACACACACACAGAGATGACATAACAGTCAGTCGATGTTAAAGGTCATGAATCAAACTCCAGAAGGTTCATTTCATGTCATCCGTCCCTTTTCATGTGAATGCAACAATGGTGAGAATGTTGTGATATGTTTGTGTAGTCAGCAGTGGTGGGACAGGTGTTACTGATGGAACCAATGACTTAGGCCAAGCATCATGTCTGAGTTATGACTCTGATGGAGCTGGAATTCAGACACAAGTTGTGGCAATCAGGAGCTGAGCGTTTTAAGAGTACCTCCACGAGCTGCTCTGTTGAAACTACAATAACCAACTTCCTGTAGTGTTCAGAACCCCAGCATGCACATGTTTCTTTCACCTCACCTCAGCATCTTTGTCTCACGTCTCTCTCTTCGTACCATTGGGAAGGCTCGTCTC